GACGGTTTCATCCACTTTGCCCAACTCGCCACATCTGAACTATCGCAAGATCCAGGGTCAACATAGGCAACTTAAAAAACCGATCAAATGAAGCGTACAATTCGCATTAGTCGTCGTGGTGTCGTCGCCAACAGGCCCCAGTACCAAACCACTCACTCTGAGGACGACGTCTCGCGATTCCTATACACTCCACCCATCCATCATCTGCCTCCAGAAATTCTGAGTATGATCTTTTCATTAACCGTAGATCAACTTGATTGGGCATCTCGCACCTTGTTGGGCTCCATATGCCGGCGATGGAGAGAAGTGGCGATCAATACGAAGAGCCTATGGAACAAAATACCCATAGCAGAAGTCAAAGACACAGATTGCTTTTTTCGCGTAAGCATATTTCTCTATATGCTTCCCACACTAATTCTGCATTGCAGACGAATGGGATGTACCCATGCTCCGAGTTCCTTCAAATAATTCTAGAACGAGCAAGTGGAAGTCCCATCACTGTAGACATTGACGCCAGTACCAAGTTCTATGAGTGTATCCTCGCAGCACTTCACGGCGTGATGCTTGATATCTCCAGTCTATTGCTCTCTTTTGAGCGGGACGACGAGGAATACTTTCCCGGATTGGATTGGGATATTCGACACCTCCGCTTACCCTCTCTTCGAAGTTTAAATATTGATTGCCGCAGAATATATTTATCCCAAACAGTTGATCCCTTCTTCAAACGTTTGCTCGATATCGCCGTTCAGTCAAGAATGGTTGAGCAACTCGATTTGATTCTTAACTGCGATACCTCTCTCTTGGTACCTCCTCATGAAATCTTCTCCAAGGCGAGGTGTTTGAAGTTGTATCTCACTCGTGAGTATCTCGAGTCCTGTGAACAATCTGCTTTGGGGTTAACTATGAATATGAACTTAGAGACTAGCGAAGATTGTTTAAGATCTCTTCAGCACCCTATATCCCTCTCAGCTTTTCAACACCTGCACATAAAGCCGCTTGGTCTCTTCTTGAAATGCATCACATCTCCGAGACTATATTCAATCGAGACTTACTACTATAAGAGAGACGAGAACAGTCAACTGGCTATGCTCAAGTCGGTTGCTTCGCAGCTCCGGGAAATGACCCTGGGCTTACTGGAATATTCCCCTGTACTATCGGGATGTCCCGTTCCCTTTCCTCAGCTGAGAGAGCTCTGCGTCAAGTCCGACTTTTCAGCTGACTTGGCTTCTCTTTTAATTCTGGCTTCAAACCTTGAATACCTGCTGGTATCCAATGCTAATAGGTTGTTCCGACCTACTCACGCCCTGGGTTATATGCTCAGTCCTAATCACTGGGGGCACAAGGGGGTTCTGTGTGTCAAATAGTGACAGAATAGCATGTCGACACAGCTGGTTTTTGTCCTTAATTACCACTGATATTCCAAAGCCAATGTTCGTGCTAAACTTGGGCCTAAATATAAAATAATAAATCAGTAGAAGGCAAAAATCGGCAAGGTGAAGCAACCTAACAAGGCAAGCTGACAAGGCAAGCCTGACATGGAAAACTTGACAAGGTGAAATGACAAGGTAGGTTGGACAAGGTGAACTCAACAAGGCAAATTTGGCCAGGTGAACCCAGCAAGGTGAATGACA